GCTGAGTTGATCTCCCATAGTCCTCATCCCCTGCAAGACTCCTGTCTGCCCCTGGTAGAAGTGAGCATGCCAAATCGAGCCTCCCGGGGCTGACCTGGAGAACAGGAAGACTCTCAGGGATCTGTTGTTTCTGCGCTGCAGACACCCTCAATCCTCAGAAAGGACCCATTTCTTCGGTCTGTCTACTCCTGGGGTCCTCCATTTACTAACCGTATGTAGCTCCCTCTACTGACTGTGGCCCCTTTGGAACAAGGCCAAGACTCCATGGGTTCTTCCACCTCAAACCACTCAGTAGAATTTTCAGCAGTTTATGTACAGCCACCCTCCCCAGGGACTCTGGACTGATAACAGGGGAAGCCAGGCCATGTGAGGTCATATTGTTCATAGCTGTGGGTTACCTTCAAGCCTTCAGTGCTGGAAAATAGCAGAGTGATGACCGGTAGCAATTCAGTGGCTCCAAGATTTGGAACTGACACTCTGGAAAATCACACCTGGGGGAGAGAAAAAAATAAAAAAGAGAGAAGTAGATCACCCAGAATGTGGAAGAAACTGACTCAAATCTTAGAACTCTTTCAAGAAATAAGGGGACATATGTATGAAAGAAAGAATTAAATTATGCTTATTTGCAGATAACGTGATCCTCTACATAAAAGACCCCCAAAGCTCTATTAATTAATAATCAAACTTGGTAGTGTAGAAAGTTACAAGGGCAACACACAAAAATCACAGAGTTCCTTTACATCAGTAATAAACTTAGAGAGAAACACCTGAGGGAAATAATACTTGTCACAATAGAAAAATGAAAAGCTTAGGGTTTTTTTTTTGTTTTTTTTTTTGGGGTTTTCTCCGGTACCGGGAACCGAACTCATGACCTTCCGCTTGCCAGGCAGGCACTTTTGCCGCTGAGCTGAATCCCTAGCCCCAATGAAATACTTAGGAATTAGCCTAACCAAGGAAGTGAAGGACCTCGACTATGAAAATTACAGTAAGCTGAAGAGGATATCAGAAAATGGGGAGCTTTCCCCTCCTGGCAGAACCAACAGAGTCAAAATGGCCATACTTCCAAGACTGTTATACAGATTTAACACAATTGCAATCAAATGGCTACCCAAAAGGGATCAATTTATAGTAAGTGATAACTAGCGTGTGCTTCTTCATTTTGTGTGGCAATATCAACTGGAACTACTTTGGTGGAAATCAGCATGGGGATTATTTAGTAAACTTATGCTCAATAGTACATCCAAGTCAGATGTTCATCTTCTAGCTATTATCCTGTGAGAATTAAGGACATCACACCACAGTGACACATGCATGCAGATGTTCAGAGCAGCACAGTTCACAGTGGCCAAATCTTGGAAGCAGCCTGTATGTCCATTAACAGATGCATGGATAAAAATGATGTGGTTGATTTCTTAATGCTAGCCATTCTTACTGGGGTAAGGTGGAATGTCAATGTTGTTTTAATTTGCATTTCTTGAATGACTAATGATGTTGAATATTTTCTCATGTATTTATTTGCCAT